CCCAATTTTACTGAAAGTTAAATTCATCGGGTAATTAAACATTTAAGGTGGCTCCCTAGGGTTTTATTTCCGGAGGTTACGTTCTTCGTATATATGTAAACTAAAACTCGTGCTGCATATATCCAATATGGCGTTCGTCAGATTTGTAGCGGTGTTATCGGTGCTTTTTTGGTCACTGTACTTTCGATCTGGCTCTAAATGCACGGAAAATCAAGCTCAGGCTAAGTCAAACTCTTTTAGAAGCGACAAAATAGATGCCTACAATAACAAGTTTCCTCAGTATTCGAGGATATGCCTCGACGACGTCTCGGCCGCGTACAAGTGGCAATGGCGGTCACTACAATCGCTTGGCATTGTAACGGGAATTACGATTTCGGACGTGCACTTGGATAAGTCATTGCGATACGACACGAAGATTCGTGAGAAGATCCTATCTAAACGGCAAGTTTGGCAACCCGAGGGTATTAAAATCCCCATTTATTGGCAAAGGATTACAACACACGGTTATGTTTATAAGCGAAAATGGCTAAATAATCGCGTGTCCTACTATTCAAATTCGTCTGCCACATTTAACACTGCTGTAATGTCCATCGATCGCAGTGGGGACGTTCATCCACATCCTGGGCCAATTGCAAGAACAAATATCGACAACGATCATGGTGAATCCAACGGCAGAATTCCGGTAAGAATAACTAATCGAGTCAGTAAAAGTGACCACCGTTTAAATACTAGAACTAACCAAAGACAGAGAGTTCCATTAAACTGTGTTAATATTAGCATAAATCGTCAGTATAGCCAAAATTCGTTTGTTAGTCAATCAAGTTGCACCGGACAGTATAAAAATCTCAATAAATCCTTAAGAATTGCTCACCTCAACGCGCAGTCCTTAAAGAACAGGACTCGTTTTCACGAACTGACAGAAATGGTGTCTGAAAAGGACTTTGATATTTTAACGATTTCGGAAACCTGGTTTAATTCATCAGTTTCGAATGCCTCAGTTGCCTTAGACGGATACAAGCTTTATAGATTAGACCGTTTACGAAAAGTCGGAGGCGGAGTATGTGCATATATAAGAAAATAACCTCAAAGCTAAGATCCTAAAAAACATCAGCGAGATAACGACCTCTGGCTTTCACCAGCTTTGGTTAAATGTTCAAAATAATAAATTAAAGTCTTTCATCATTGGAGTATTATACAGGCCCCCGGATTGTCCTATTAGTTTCATTGACAATGACCTTATGCCTCGATATACCGAAGTATTATCATCAGGTAAAGACGTTGTGTTAGCTGATGACCTCAATTGCGACCTTCTATCTGAAAATCCCAGCTCGGAAGCCCTACTTTCATTTGCATGTTGCGTTGGCGCAACACAACTAACTGATAAAAGATCCCACTAGAGTTACTTCTAACTCATCAACATTGATCGACGTTTTATTTGTTTCCAATCGTAACCTCGTTAAGTCAATCGGAGTTTATGAAACCACAATTAGCGACCATTTCTTAATCTATGCGGTTTTGAATTTAAAAGTGACAAAACCAGCTATACAAACCATTGTGACTCGTAGTTTTAAATCTTTTAACCCTACAGACTTCTCGCGCGACATTTCGATGATACCGTGGGACGTAATAAATCTATAAGATTCTGTTGACGACCGACTAGCCGCCTTTAACACTTTGTTCCTGACATGCTTAGATAAACACGCCCCCGAGAAAGTCATTAAACTTAAATATAACCCAAACCCATTCATCAATAGGGAGTTAAGGTCGTTAATACGAAACAAATCCCAACTTCATCAAATAGCAAGAGCTACTGGGACATTATAGGATTGGAATGCTTTTAAATCATTAAAACGGAGGATCAAATGTGCCATCAGACAAGCGGAAACAGATTATTTCAATAAAGAAATTCTCTCTAATAAAAATTGCCGCGGTGCAATTTGGAAAACAATCCGTCGTGCAATACCAAAATCATCTAGCCAGCAGTTGACCTATACCAAAGATACAGTATCCTTATCTAATCAATTTAATGTATTTTTTACATGCGTCGGGCAACAAGCTGCTACATCTTCAAGAAAGCTTGCTGTAGAACATGGGCTACAAGCATCAGAATCAGTTCTCCCCGTGCCATATCCTGAAGATGAGTTATTTTATTTCAGACCAGTAACATGTGAGGAGGTAAATAAAGTTATCCTGTCAATGCCCAACAACAAAGCACCGGGATATGATAAAGTCCCAGTTAAAGTAATTAAGAACTGTCGCCCCGAAATTTCGGATACTGTCACCACGCTGATAAATCTATCCTTCGAGAGTAACACATTTCCACGTGAATGGAAAAAAGCGGTAGTGATACCCCACCTCAAGGAAGGCGACCATGAAGAGGCTGATAATAACAGGCCTATTTCTCTACTACCAGTACTTTCCAAAATCGCTGAACGCTTGGCTCTGATCCAGTTTACAGAATACTTAGTTCAAAAGCAGAGATTAACTAACCATCAAAGTGAAAATAGAAAGTTACACTCCACTGAAACCATTAGCCTACTTATCACTGACCACATTTTTAGAGCAATGGACGAAAAAAAGATTTCAGCAATGGTTTTAATAGACCTGAGTAAAGCCTTTGATAGAATTTGCCATGAAAGACTACTCCAAAGGCTCCAAAATGTAGGCGCTTCTTCCTCTAGCGTTGATTGGTTTCAGAGTTATCTATCCGATAGATATCAAGTCACACGCATTGGTCAATCTACATCAACTCCTTTATTGGTGAAACATTGAGTCCCACAAGGCTCCATCTTGGGTCCACTGCTGTTTACAATATGCATGAACGATTTACCCAAAGTTGTTTCGAACTGTGACGTAGAATGATATGTTGACGACACAAAGACGTTTATATCATTTTCCTTATCAGAAGCCGACCTTGGCCTGTTAAGCCTTTCCCAAGATCTCAGAAGTATAGCAGAATGGTGCTGTTCTAATAAGCTTCTAATAAATCCTTTGAAGACAGAGTTTATGATATTTGGAATGGAGAAATCGATAAAGAACCTGCCAAACTTATCAATTCCTTTTCTAGGAAAAATATTAACACCTGTCACAGTTTGTAAAGACCTTTGTCTCACTTTCGATGCCACTCTGACATTTGACGATCATATCAATTGATTGACGTCGACCCTAACATCAAGTCTGTGTCTAATCAACAGAGTTCGACACTTGTGCAACAAGGATGCCTTGTTGGTCATGATAAACTGCCTAGTATTTAGCAAACTTTACTATTACTCCACGGTTTGGTCTGGCACCACCCAAAACAACATTAAGAAACTACAACGAGTACAGAACTTTGCAGCACGAATCGTAACCGGAACTAGAAAGTATGATCATATCACCCCGGCTTTAGATAAGCTGGGATGGTTGTCAGTTAACGACTCTCTATTGTACCGTAATGCTATTATGATGTATAAAATAGTTCATGGTCTTGCACCTGCCTATCTTAGTTCCAAGCTAGTAATCCGTTCGCAACTTCATAAACATATTACGATGTAGAACATCTAAAGCTAAGCGATCCTTTTTTAATCATGCAGCACTGCTGTGGAACTCATTTGATCTTTCGACTCGAAACATTTCAACTCTAGGAGGATTGAAGAAGGCCGTACGAACAGAGTTAATCAATAGACAGAATTAATTTTTAATAGTCCTCGTAATATACAGTTGTAATTCTAGTTTAGCTACAGACAATCTCTTTTTAACATAAATTCTAAATAATTGCATGTAAATATCATATTACTACACTTATTTGTAAATTAGTTATGAAAAGCCCTTATCCCATTAACTAATAAATCATATTGTATTGTATTGTATAGTGGCCAAAGTTCATTTTCGATGCCATCGTTCCATCAACATCGTTTAGTACAGTGAGTCAGAACAGGATAAATGAGAATTTCAGGTAAGATAAACAATATATCGGATATTCCATATATATAAACATAAAATATAAATTTTTTATAATTGTCGATGGAATTATCCTGAGCATCCTTCCATTTCTTGCTTGGTTGTAACGCAGTAATACACTGGTAAACCACTCTAAACGAAATTTCGCGTAGTAATTGAGAAGTTATTTCAATAAGGATTCTTCTCCCGTAATGGACTATAGCATCCATTCCCTAAAATATTTTAGTGTTAGAATGCGCTAGACAAGCAACAGACAATGGCTCAGAATCCGCAGGCTAGTTTGCTTGAAGGCGCAGAATCATCGAACGTCATACCACAGAATACTACACAGAAGTCCATGTCCTTTGTTTTTTGTGTAAGCGCTATTCGTCATGATTCGTCACTCAGCAAGTACCGTAAACAGAAGCAGTCCCCCCCTGGAAATACTCAAAAATGGCGTTCGTCCAGGGGGGTGACTGCTTCTGTTTACGGTACTTGCTGAGTGACGAATCATGACGAATAGCACTTGCACAAAAAACAAAGGTGATGGACTTCTGTGTAGTATTCTGTGGTCATACTATGGTCATACGGAATGACAGCATACAGAATCATCGAACGTCATACGGAATGACAGCATACAGCACATATATATATATATATATATATATATATATATATATATATATATATATATATATATATATAATATACAAACAGGTTATAACACTGCCACGACTCCAAGTGAAATTATTTAATAAAAAAATATATATATAGCTTTAAATTTTCGGCAGCATGCCACCGCCTTCGTCAAAAAGTAAATGAATATAGTAAATTACCCTCCTTATATACAACAATATAAGTGATTAAACTAATTAAAGCAATATAAACAAAGAAACCTATTGTTGGGAATAATCATGGCTGGTATTCAAACCCCCCAAATTAGTGAGCAAAGTACCTATCCAAAAGTTTTCACACTTTCTTAAGTCCTCGTTGTTGTTATCAATTAACATAAATTTCAAATTGAAATGCTCGCTCCCGTGCACATCTATAAAGTGATTAACTACACCACATGTTCTACGCTTATGCTTTATATGTGACTTGTAGTTTGCCAAACGAGGCTTAAAATTAATAGTAGAACCAACCCCCTGCAAACCACAAGCCACACACTGAGCGAGGTAAACCACATTCTCAGATGTACACGTCAAGGTCTTACGGATACTAAACAACCTGCCGGTCACGGTTGAACTAAATGAATTGCCCGGTGTGAGAAAATGTTTGCAGCAATCACATCTCTTGGCTGTACATGTAATACAACCCCGACCTACAGGTTCAACCCCTCGGTAAGGATTAGACGGGGCCAACAGCTCTTTTAAATTGGCCCCCCTACTATAGGCCACTAGGATAGAACGTTTGGGCAAAATCTCACAGGCCTGCTCATCAGCATCAATGATATCATGATGTTTACGAATGATACTGGCTATGTCACACACTCGAGGGTTGTACTTGGTGACAAAAACACACTGCTTCCCTTTATTGGGTTTGCTTTTACGTGCTTCAGCTCGAGTCATCACACCCACTTCCTCAAATACTCTATTAACATGAACACTATTGTGGCCACAATTAATAAGATATTGGGCGTATATTTTGCTTTTTTCATGAAAATCGCTATCCTCAGAACATATACGCCTTAACCTCAACGCCACCCCTTTAGCTATACCACGTATTTGAGATCTAGGATGCGATGACTTGGCATTTAAATACACATGGGCATCGGTGGGCTTACTATAAATAGATGTTACCAATTGGTTGTTGACTATGGTAATAAGCAAGTCAAGAAAATGCAAGCTCCGCCCACCCATATCCATGGTAAATTGTAGATGTGAATCAAATGTGTTAAGAGCCTGGAAAAATGCATTAAGACGTTCAACGGAACCACGCCAAAGTACAATAGTATCGTCACGGAAGCGAAACCAGCACCTAAGTTCCGGATAAATAGTCCGTGATGCTAAAACTTTTTGATCTATGTTTTCAGCAACAATGTCAGCATATGAGCAAGAGTTTTTGGGGCCCATAGCCGTACCATTTTCCTGCAACCAATATTGCTCACGAAAAGTGGAACAATTCCTCTTAAGACAAATTTCCAAGGCTTCCACAACACATTCAACCGGCACGTCAAGTTTATCAGCATATTGGGTAAGTTTGTATCTAACCCTTTCAACCCCCGACTGGTTATCTATAGACGGAAACATGTTAGTAATGTCGAAACTAACCAACAAGTCACCATCTTCTACCCCCTCCAAATTAAGCTCATCAATGATATTAAGCATATGCCTAGTATCCTGCACACGACACGGAATAGTCTCCACTACAGTTTTGCAATACTTTTCCACAAATAAAGATAAATTTTCTGTGGGTGTACCACAACCAGATGTAATAACTCGTGCAGGATTACCAGGCTTATGCGTTTTGATCAATGGATAATTAATACCAGGACCAGGACCGCTATAACTAGTAATAAAATTAATCCATTTGTCAGACAACCCCCGAGACCTCCATTTCCCTGTCCATTCCAAAATTTCAGAACACGTTTCATTAGTAATGTCGTGGTCTATAATTTGGAATGAACCTCTATTCATTTGCTGGCTAACTTTATATGCGTCTGTATCATTATCTAAAAATACAAAACTATTGCCCTTATCTTGAAGGCGGATGATCAAATTACGCTCCTCCACTGGGGTGGAACGAAACTTGGTTAAGGCCTTACGTTCTTCTGATGTTAAATTGTCCGTCACATAATTACTTCTAGTTGTATCAAACAAGTCCTTTTCAACTCTATTCAAAAATACCTCAATGGCTGGAACCTTAGCGTATGGTGGTTCTTTGGTCGATTTTTCACGTGGAGGTTCAAGAGGATTAACTTCAAAACTTCCCCCCGTTTCTTCTGAAGAGTGGTAAAACGCTCGCCATCTTACTTTTCGTTTAAAAGCTTGCCAACTTTGCTGTAAACCGTTCCAGTCTATGCTTGTAGGCGTTGGAACAAAAGATGGACCTCGACTGCAAAGTTCTACAAGTGGCTGTTCAACTATTTGATTTGTAAGATTAACCGGTTCATGTTTCTGCTGTTCCTCTAATGACTCAACTGTCTTGTTGTTATTATTAACAGCTTTCGCACTTCTGGGTTGTACACCATCACGAGCATATTTATTCAAACGCAAGTCCGAACACCATATTACGTTACTTTCTCATTATCGTGTTGGCGGTATCATTCCGAAAGGTTTCTTACTTAAGTTTCATGGTGGAACGACGGAGCCGGTTTTACAATCTCGGGTGGACTCAACGTTAAGAAAATGCTCGAGGAAGCTGATGAATTTATTTGAGCAACATTACAAGCACAAACTTCCTTGTTTAAAAGTAGAAGAACGCGAGTTGTTTTTGTCGCTTAAGAGATTTCATCCGATAGAAGTAAACTCCATCGGAGTTCAGCTAGAGAAACGAACCCAGTTATGGAAGCGTATGTTTACGGACTTGCGTTTGAATAAATATGCTCGTGATGGTGTACAACCCAGAAGTGCGAAAGCTGTTAATAATAACAACAAGACAGTTGAGTCATTAGAGGAACAGCAGAAACATGAACCGGTTAATCTTACAAATCAAATAGTTGAACAGCCACTTGTAGAACTTTGCAGTCGAGGTCCATCTTTTGTTCCAACGCCTACAAGCATAGACTGGAACGGTTTACAGCAAAGTTGGCAAGCTTTTAAACGAAAAGTAAGATGGCGAGCGTTTTACCACTCTTCAGAAGAAACGGGGGGAAGTTTTGAAGTTAATCCTCTTGAACCTCCACGTGAAAAATCGACCAAAGAACCACCATACGCTAAGGTTCCAGCCATTGAGGTATTTTTGAATAGAGTTGAAAAGGACTTGTTTGATACAACTAGAAGTAATTATGTGACGGACAATTTAACATCAGAAGAACGTAAGGCCTTAACCAAGTTTCGTTCCACCCCAGTGGAGGAGCGTAATTTGATCATCCGCCTTCAAGATAAGGGCAATAGTTTTGTATTTTTAGATAATGATACAGACGCATATAAAGTTAGCCAGCAAATGAATAGAGGTTCATTCCAAATTATAGACCACGACATTACTAATGAAACGTGTTCTGAAATTTTGGAATGGACAGGGAAATGGAGGTCTCGGGGGTTGTCTGACAAATGGATTAATTTTATTACTAGTTATAGCGGTCCTGGTCCTGGTATTAATTATCCATTGATCAAAACGCATAAGCCTGGTAATCCTGCACGAGTTATTACATCTGGTTGTGGTACACCCACAGAAAATTTATCTTTATTTGTGGAAAAGTATTGCAAAACTGTAGTGGAGACTATTCCGTGTCGTGTGCAGGATACTAGGCATATGCTTAATATCATTGATGAGCTTAATTTGGAGGGGGTAGAAGATGGTGACTTGTTGGTTAGTTTCGACATTACTAACATGTTTCCGTCTATAGATAACCAGTCGGGGGTTGAAAGGGTTAGATACAAACTTACCCAATATGCTGATAAACTTGACGTGCCGGTTGAATGTGTTGTGGAAGCCTTGGAAATTTGTCTTAAGAGGAATTGTTCCACTTTTCGTGAGCAATATTGGTTGCAGGAAAATGGTACGGCTATGGGCCCCAAAAACTCTTGCTCATATGCTGACATTGTTGCTGAAAACATAGATCAAAAAGTTTTAGCATCACGGACTATTTATCCGGAACTTAGGTGCTGGTTTCGCTTCCGTGACGATACTATTGTACTTTGGCGTGGTTCCGTTGAACGTCTTAATGCATTTTTCCAGGCTCTTAACACATTTGATTCACATCTACAATTTACCATGGATATGGGTGGGCGGAGCTTGCATTTTCTGGACTTGCTTATTACCATAGTCAACAACCAATTGGTAACATCTATTTATAGTAAGCCCACCGATGCCCATGTGTATTTAAATGCCAAGTCATCGCATCCTAGATCTCAAATACGTGGTATAGCTAAAGGGGTGGCGTTGAGGTTAAGGCGTATATGTTCTGAGGATAGCGATGTTCATGAAAAAAGCAAAATATACGCCCAATATCTTATTAATTGTGGCCACAATAGTGTTCATGTTAATAGAGTATTTGAGGAAGTGGGTGTGATGACTCGAGCTGAAGCACGTAAAAGCAAACCTAATTATAAAGGGAAGCAGTGTGTTTTTGTCACCAAGTACAACCCTCGAGCCAGTATCATTCGTAAACATCATGATATCATTGATGCTGATGAGCAGGCCTGTGAGATTTTGCCCAAACGTTCTATCCTAGTGGCCTATAGTAGGGGGGCCAATTTAAAAGAGCTGTTGGCCCCGTCTAATCCTTACCGAGGGGTTGAACCTGTAGGTCGGGGTTGTATTACATGTACAGCCAAGAGATGTGATTGCTGCAAATATTTTCTTACATCGGGCAATTCATTTTGTTCAACCGTGACCGGCAGGTTGTTTAGTATCCGTAAGACCTTGACGTGTACATCTGAGAATGTGGTTTACCTCGCTCAGTGTGTGGCTTGTGGTTTGCAGGGGGTTGGTTCTACTATTAATTTTAAGCCTCGTTTGGCAAACTACAAGTCACATATAAAGCATAAGCGTAGAACATGTGGTGTAGTTAATCACTTTATAGATGTGCACGGGAGCGAGCATGTCAATTTGAAATTTATGTTAATTGATAATAACAACGAGGACTTAAGAATGTGTGAAAACTTTTGGATAGGTACTTTGCTCACTAATTTGGGGGGTTTGAATACCAGCCATGATTATTCCCAACAATAGGTTTCTTTGTTTATATTGCTTTAATTAGTTTAATCACTTATATTGTTGTATATAAGGAGGGTAATTTACTATATTCATTTACTTTTTGACGAAGGCGGTGGCATGCTGCCGAAAATTTAAAGCTATATATATATTTTTTTATTAAATAATTTCACTTGGAGTCGTGGCAGTGTTATAACCTGTTTGTATATTATCTATGATTTGTCTGCCGAGCAGAGGGTGTACACTTGTTGCATATATATTACTTATACTCTACTCTGTCTCCATGGAGCGACTTCAAGTTAGTAATGTTAAATTTTTATTTAACCGATTGTTCTCATGTAGAGAAAAGTCTGTTCGTTTTAAACACCATATTACGTTATTTCTCATTATCGTGTTGGCGGTATCATTCCGAAAGGTTTCTTACTTAAGTTTCATGGTGGAACGACGGAGCCGGTTTTACAATCTCGGGTGGACTCAACGTTAAGAAAATGCTCGAGGAAGCTGATGAATTTATTTGAGCAACATTACAAGCACAAACTTCCTTGTTTAAAAGTAGAAGAACGCGAGTTGTTTTTGTCGCTTAAGAGATTTCATCCGATAGAAGTAAACTCCATCGTAGTTCAGCTAGAGAAACGAACCCAGTTATGGAAGCGTATGTTTACGGACTTGCGTTTGAATAAATATGCTCGTGATGGTGTACAACCCAGAAGTGCGAAAGCTGTTAATAATAACAACAAGACAGTTGAGTCATTAGAGGAA